ATATATATATATATATATATAATTTATCATATGATGATTACATGATTAATTATTGAATGTTAAACCAAGCTTGGCATTTGTGGAATAATTTCCATTTGGAAATGGTATATGATCTGTTAAAATTTTGTTAAGGATTTTTGCAACTATGTTCATAAGGAATATTTATCTATATTTATCTATCTTTATTTGTAACATCTTTGTCTGATTTTCGTATCAGATTAATGCTGGCCTCATAGAATGAGTTGGGAAGTATTCCATCTTTGATTTTTCTGGAAGAATTTGTATAGTGTTGGCATTGCCTTCCTTAAATATTTGGTTGAGTCCACCAGTGAAGGCACGTGGACAAGGAGATTTGTTTGTTTTTGGTGAGAAGGTTTTCAACTACAAATTTAATAATAAAAAAATCAGTACTGAGCTGTTTGCATTTTTGTTTTTTTTTCAGTAAATTATGCTTATTTGTGTCATTTAGTAGTTTGTCCATGTCACCCAAGCTGTTTAATTCATTAGCAAAAATTGTTCATAATATTCCCTTATTTTAACATGTGTATGCTCTCTATAGTGATACTTTCTCTTTCATTGCTTATGTTTTATATTGACAATTTATATCTTCTCTGTCTCTCTTTTTTAAAATTTATTTTTCAATTTCAGTTGATATACAGTATTAATTTCAGGTGTCTAATAAAGTGATTAGACATATACCTTATGAATTGATCACCCTGATAAGTCTAGGACCTATCCGTTTTTGCCTCCTTGTTTCTGTCTCTCTGATTATTCTAGCTAAAGGTTTATCACTTTTCTTAATTTTTTTTCAAAAAGCACCTTTAGGTTTTATTGATTCCGCGCCCCCCCCCCCCCGTTGTCTATTCTATTGATCTCTGCTATTAACTTTAGTATTTTCTTCCTCCTGCCTACTTGGGGTTTAATTTGCTTTTTTTCTAGCTTTATAAAGTGGAAGCCTAGAGCATTGATTTTGGTTCTTTGTCTTCTAATGTTGCCATTTAAAACTGTACATTTTTCTCTAAGTCGTGCTTTAACTGAAGCTTACATGTTTTATGATTCTTTTCTTAAATATTTCCTAATTTCTCTTGTGATTTTAAAAATTAAATTCGGTAACTATTTAGAAGTGAAATAGTTAAGTTCCAAATATTGGGGGAGTTTTTCAAAAATTTTAAAATTTATTTGTAATTTCAGTTCATTGTGTTCACAAATATAAAAAAATATGGTTTCAACCTTTTATGTTTGTTGAGACTTGTTTTACACCTATCATATGGTCTATTTTGGTGAAAATTCCATGTACACTTCAAAATAATGTATATCTGTTGTTGAGTAGAGCATTTTTTTTAAAAATAGATTTTTATTGATTTCAGAGAGGAAGGGAGAGGGAGAGAGATAGAAACATCAGTGATGAGAGAGAATTATTGATTGGCTGCCTCCTGCATGTCCCCTACTGGGGATCGAGCCCGCAACCCCAGGCATGTGCCCTTGACTGGAATCGAACCTGGGACCCTTCAGTCCACAGGCTGATGCTCTATCCACTGAGCCAAACCGGCTAGGGTGAGTGGAGCATTTTTAAAAAAATATATTTTATTGATTTTTTAACAGTGAGGAAGGGAGAGGGATGGAGAGTTAGAAACATCGATATCAGCTGCCTCCTGCACAACCCCCACTGGGGATGCGCCTGCAACTGAGGTACATGCCCTTGACTGGAATCGAACCCGGGACCTTTCAGTCCGCAGGTCGACGCTCTATCCACTGAGCCAAACTGGTTAGGGTGAGTGGAGCATTTTTTAACTGTAATTTTGATACACTTGGTTGATAGTGTTGTTCAAATTTTCTATCCTAATAATTTTGTATTTGTCAATTGTTGACAGAGGAGTATTGAAATTGCCTGTTATGATTGTGGATTTGCATAAGCCTTCTTTTCTGTTCTATGTGTGCTTTGACTCTCTCTTATTGGGTGCATACACATTTAGCATTTGTTACATCTTCCTGATGAACTAACCCATTTATTATTATGGAGGGTTCCTCTGTATCCCGGGTAATACTTCTTTTTCTGAAATATAAGTTGTTTGGTATTAATGTAATCATTGCTGCTTTCTTTTTGTTTAATTTTTATATTGTGTCTTTAAAGTTTTTTGTCTAAAATATTTTATCAGGTTTTTTGAGATATATTCACATACTACTTAATTCATTCATTTAAAATGTACAATTCAGTGGTTTTTAGTGTATTCACAGAGTTGTGCAACAATCACCACTGTCAATTTTAGAATGTTCTCATTCTTTCCAAAAGAAACTTTGAGTTTCTTAGCCGTCACTACCCAATCCTCTTCTGGTCCCTGTCTTTCCTTGCCAGCTATGGGGAACCACTAATTTACTTTCTTTCTCTATAGATTTGCCTATTCTGGAATTTCATATAAAT